GTAATAAAGGTCAAATGAATAGGGAAAATAAGGAGAAAGAAAAAAACGATTAAAAAGTAGAGCGCATCAAATTATAAAATAATATGAATAATCATTTAACTAATCAAATAACCGAACATGGATTTGATATAGATGGTATAGATTTGATATAGAAATTGTACTCATATGCTATAGAGACAATATAAAGCCGATATGGAGTTGATATAAAGTCGACAATTGTGTCCAATTTAATACTAGTGAACCATCTTAATTATCGCGTGCAAATGTTGGGTTATTTAAATAAGCTATGTGGGAAGCTAAATTAAACTATTGCCGAATTTTTACAAGCCCTCATGCTTTTATAGCTCCCGTTACGCCCTAAAAATTCGTACTTGCATCCTGCGATATCGTGTTACAGGAATGAAAAATGCTTACGCGGAATTTCCTCCCTTTTTTACCACTAATACGCCTAATAGATAGAACCTATTGTTGCCCCCGCTTGTAAATGTGACCACGTGCTTTTTATCTCATCTCGAGTGCAAACCATTAATTGACTTGCAGTAATTTTACTACATGATCATAACTGATATAGGCTATTCATAAAGCGGTTCGTTTAAAAAACTTGTCTTCATTAATATAGAAAATTTGATCAACCATGATTTCAGTTTGACCCCATACAACACATAGATACCCTACTACTCTAACATTGAAAAATAAAAATTGTGTTACCTAAACAAAGTTCACACATTATATCCGCTAGTTAAGTCAAAAAAGCCTAGAATGTCAACCCACAGCGAGTAAGGTTACACCGGGACGAATAATCCCTCCTTCCTTTTTTTCTGTCGAAACTACATCTGCCGGAGAATTTACGGTAAAATTGATTGTTTCTCCATGCAGCAGCCAGAGGTTCATTTGTTGACATTGCTTCCTCGAGGTTTCCGCCAATTCTGCCTCAATCTTACACACGATCCTTAGAAAGAAGGTTAAATAAGCATGATATCAAAAGCAATTATAGTCCCCTGCTTTTCACATTTATCGGCAAAGCTATAATTTGCAGAGATAAGTTCAATATCTATTCACTTATATTATTTAGGTAGGCATATAAGACTGTGGGTTTAATTCCGTTGGATCGCCTTCAGGAACTTAATCTTTTTATCCTTCTAAGGCGGGGACTTGGAATATCGCTTTAGTAGTGATGAGGTAGGGTCTAGGATAAGGGTTTGGAAGGAAGGGTGCTAGGGACGTAGGCTTACTCTATTAAAATTTGCCACAAATTTTGCTTTTTAGATGTTCTGTAGGTTTGGGTCTGTTTTATATGCTTATTACTTGAGTTAGGGGTGAAATCCGAGAAATTTAGGGTAAGAAGTACTCTTATGTATATAAATAGCTGCTTATTTATTTCTAGTTTATCAAGTAGTTTTGTTTAATTCTTATTTTATTTATTTGCTATAATTTAGCTCTATTAGTTTAATTGTGAATTATTTTTTTAAGTTCAGTTAGTTTAATATAGCCTTGTTTAGTTAGTTTGATTTATTATAGTTTAGCCCTTGTTTTATTTTCCTTTTAGTAAAGTTTCTAGTTTAAAAGTTAGTTTGATTAGTTTCAGTTTAGTTTAGCCTTATTAATTTATTATTTCGTTTTTTACTTCCTTTCCTTCCCTCTGTAATGCCCCACTGGTCCCAGTTACATATACCGTTTTTGGTACTGCGGTGTTATTTATAAGGAAGGCTTACCAGTTTTAGTTGATAATTAGAATTTAGGGTCAGGGTCTGGGCTTTGCGTAAGAATAAGGTTATGCGGTTTTGTACTGCCGCTTGAATCACATTAAGTCGGTTTGAGATCTGAAGCAAGGGTAACGTTGGGTAAGGCTAAGAGCACGTTTACTTTAAGGTCTGGTTTAGGCTTAGGGTTTAGAATAGGACATATTTTAAGGTTAGGTCTAGGGTAGGTGCTGGGCTTAGTTTCAAGGTTATGGTAAGACTTCCGTTAGGGTAGGAGTTAGAGTTAGGATGGGATTTTAGGGTAAAGTTACATTTAAGGGTTTAGGGTTCAAGTGAACTATAAGTATTGTTAGCACTTGCGCGTGAGTTAGGCTACGGATTAAGTTTGGTATGATTGTTCGGATTAGGAAAAGAGAAGAAAGTAAAGTAAGCCTTAAGGTGAGGTTAGGTGAGTATTTTAGTTTCCATGTTAAGAAATAAGATTTAAGGTTCAGACTAAGGGGTTGGGAGTAGATTGCAGTTTTAGGATACAAACAGGGTGTCCCAAAAAATTATACCCATTTTACATAATTGTAAAATTGATTTTTGTCATAATTTCATAATTTCAAAATGTAAAAATATTTACGAGTATAATTTAATTGTTTTCTTCATTGAATGTTCTCAAACTGACGTCCATTGTGATCATGACACTGATGACAACACGAAGCAATGGAATCGCACACAC